CTCCGCCGCGGGCCGTGCGCCGCGGGCCCTGGGCCCTGCTAGGAGAGAGCTGCTCGCCCGCCCGCCCGCGACGTGGAGCATCCGGAGATCGTTTTTTAAAAAGTTTCCTCCGGTCCCCATGGCAACCTTGCGGCGCTGCGTGGAGGGGTTCAGAGCCCAGCTGCCCCCCCACAAAAAAAAAAAAACGCGTGCAAGGCGGTCCGTTGCATGATGGTGTGAAAACGTCATGCCCGTGTAACACGAGTGCACGCCGCGGTCTGATCACGGCAGAACCCGTCCGTGGTCTTTGCTTATTTCTCCTTCAAGCTCAGTTATAAGATCGCCTGTTTAAAAAGCACACTTTAAGAAACGGCTGCCACTGTGAGTGTTAGGGGTGTCCACTATTTTTTTTTTTTTGTCTTGTTTTTTTCTGCAGCCGGTTCTTGTCGTGGGAAGTAGAGATGGAAGCCCACGGCTTTACTTCTAAATGGCTGCTCATTTTTCCGTGTGCACAGCGAGCGTGAACATTCATACAGTCTCGGGGCCGTAGAAACATGCATTTGTTTATGCAAACTCTCTCCGGGGTGGGCCCTGGACACAGCAGTGTCTTTATAACAGTGAAGCATGATGGGCATAGGCTATGCTGGGGTCCAGGAAGCCAGTTCTCGCCACAGGCAACCATTCCGTTCAAGAACCGTGGTGTGCGATTCAGTCACGGGTAACTAAGGTCCGACAGAGACGCCCTAACCTACTAGGAATATTCGCTTCAAGGCGGCTTTTCATCTGATTCACTGGCGAAAGAAATTTTTTAAGAAGATTTAAACTTTCCAGTAACTGTTCGAAGGATCTTACTCCACTATGGAGAAGTGCAGTTAAAACCAGAGAAAGAACCCAGTTCTCAATTTCCAAGTCAATACACTGGGAACAGTGACACCTTCCTGACCCAGGCGCTTTGAGTATTACACTTGATTCCCGCGGAGGGGCAGAGGTGACTTTCAGCATGGACTGTAGAATGCGCTGCTACGGTTTGTTTCCTAGCCTTTCCTTCTCCAACTTGACCTTTCCTGTTTCTCTCGGGCTAGTCTCTTTGCCTCCTACCTTGGGAGAGGAATATTCTCAAGCTTCCTTCCTTTCATCATCCAGGAAGCCCTGGTCAAGCCGCCCTTCCTCTGCCCCCGCCCCCTCTGGGTTTGACCACGTACTCAGAAGGATTGGTTCACGTTTCTAGTGTGTTCCTCATTCTCTGGTGGCTGCCTGGCTTATACTGCCCCCGAGGCGGAGTAGGGACGAATTGAATATTGTTGAATGTCCCTCGACTTCCTGTACCTCACCTCACCTTCTGACCCTACCACCTGCTGGTTTCATAGCCAGGAGCCTTTCCCCACCAATTGTCCCTAGTCTAGATGTAGCTCAGCTTTGTTTTTTGTTTATTTATTTTTTATTTTTATTTATTTTTATATATGTTGGTATTTTGCCTATATGAGGGTGTGGGATCCCCTGGAACAGGAGTTAGAGACAGTTGTGAGCTGCTATGTGGGTGCTGGGAATTGAACCTGGGTCCTCTGGAAGAACAGCCAGTGCTCTTAACCACTGAGCCATCTCTTCAGTCCCTTCTTTTGTTTTTAATCAGTCTTCTTCCGCTGTTTCAAAGGAAGGAGGCCTTATTGTCCCTTATGTAGTTTGGCACAGGATGTTTGGCCGTTGGGGCTTGTGCTTTGTGCTATTTTGATGTTTGGTTTAAGAATGGACATCTCTCCAGGCAGTGGTGGCACACTCCTCTAATCCCAGCACTTGGAAGGCAGAGGCAGGTGGATCTCTGTGAGTCCAAGTCCAGCCTGGTCTACAGAGGGAGTTCCAAGACAGCCAGGGCTACACAGAGAAACCCTATCTTGGAAGAGGAAGAGGAGGAGGAGGAAAGAACGAAAGAAAAAGAAGGGACATCAACTTGTTGGCTATGGCAGCCTCCCATTACAAGCTATGGAACAGCATATTCTTATTTATTGGCAAAGCTGTCTCCATTTATTTGGTGCCTGTTTATTTGCCCAGATAATATTCTTTAGGGTTAAGAAATAGAATAGGCGTGCTTTGCTAAACTATTATTAAACTGTTTCTAGGTAATACCTAAGCTTGTTGCTGTTACATGATGAAAAACAAAACAAAACAAAACACAATGTATCAAGAAACCCAAAATGATAGCGGCTAAAGTCTTGCATGCTCCTCACTTTAAATCTTGGAAAATGGGTGTCTTGAATATTAATAGGCCACAGTTTTCAATATAAATCTGAACTTTATTTCAGCTAATATTTATAAAAGATGTTTTCTCGTGTGAAATAAGATCTGGTTCCTGATCAGGAAGTGACAAAGTTTTAAAAAGAAAAAAATAGTGGGCCTCTTCTCCAATCCCATCTTCAGTGAACTCCCCCTTACTCCTCATTGTGCTCCTGAACTTGCCTGTGCCCCACACGTGAGTCACTGACCTCAAATAGTGGACATCAACATGCATGTAAACTGCTCACGCAAGGGCACCTCCAACTTTAATTAGGCGTAACTTCCACAAAGATATGTTTCAGTCTAATAGAACATCTGGAGTTCTAATGTATATCAGCTATCTTTCATGTAAGATTAACTTGTCGCCGGGCAGTGGTGG